CACACACTCTTTTAAACTTTCCACCTCAGGCAGCTCTCTTTCTGAACACAGCAGTACATTCTCCAATTGGTCTGCGGTGGCCTCCTGAGGGTTCAGAAGGACCAATCACAGAAGGCTCAGAGTTTATATCAGACAGGTGTGTTTTCTGGGACATTTCTCATGACCTTCCTGCATTATTGACACTAAATCACTAAATGTTTCATGACTAAAGTTGTTTTTTTTTTTTTACTTGGACATGAATATATGAATATTACGTTTGAGTTTAAAATGCAGCTGTTTTTTATATATGTGCTAAACACAAGTTATGTATTTATCTTATTATTATATCCCTGAAACACCTGAAATCAAAGGCTTACATAACTGCATGGGAACTCAGCATCTGGATTCTTGGCACTCTTTCTGAGAATTCTACAATGAAAAAAAGTGTTTGTAAAAATCAAACAAAGACAATGAAACACAGATGGTTTTATTGATGCAGAAAATGTGTTGATAGTTTCAACATGCAGTTTTGTGGCAGATTATGCAGTAGGAACACCATATGTGTGACAAAACTTTACACTCTTCAAATCAGCAATCTTCTATAAAGTTTACTCAAATCTATTGCAAAATAACCAGACCTAAACTGTTTTTTGGATGATCTGGATGACAGGACCTGAGAGAACAGGCAGAAATGTAAAAGTGCAGCAAGCCTGAGACTCTGCATGCTGACTGCCGAGGCAAAAGTGGCAAACAAATTAGAAAGATATATATATATATATATAGGGAGAGAGAGAGAGATTATAAATATAGATATAGAAGTATAGTCCATTCTGCAATTAGACTGTAGATTTAATTTGAACAAAAATCCATGATTCATTTATTTGGTAATTGATTTAATTAAAATGTATAATTTATTTGTTTTAAGTAAGAAAAAAAGCTAGTTAAAAAAAAATCTCTTTAGGCTAAGCTAAAATGAGAAAACCAAAGTGATCATGAGAGGGTACCTCAAAACTACAGTGCTACGGGCCTTAAAAAAGCTAAATCTGCTTTTACATTGTCTTTCGAATTATTTTTGTACTAGCGTATTTCCACTTACTAGCATATATTAAGTTTTTAATTAAAAAATACACTGAGGGGAAAAAGAAGGCAAAGAAAGCAAGCACCTTTAATAATTTTTCAACTCCTGTATTATGTATGCATGGCAGCATATTGCTAAATAAAATGCCTGTGTGGTATTACTGTTCACCACTCTGTGCAAAACATAATCATGATGTGTGCAGAAGAAGGACATAAGCTGGTGAGAAATGATAGGAAAATGGCAGCAACTAAATAAAAAGCACCATAGAAGATGCTGCTGTTAGAGATGGTTGACAGTGGAGCAAAGGTTCACCTTACAGCAGGAGAACAACCCAATGGAATGCTTCTTCAAATATTTTTATTTGAAAAAGCTACTAAGTAAAAGTCTAGACCCTAAACAATTCAATTCACGGCAAAAACGATCTAGGAATAAGTAAACATTTCTTAAATTAAGTATATTTACCCTTAATTTGAGTAGGTCAATAAAATTATTTGGCATTGGAATGAGTATTTTTACCATTAAAATAAGATCATTGGATAAAATGCACTTGAAAGAAGACGATGCAAATGTTTTTTCTTATTTTAAATGTAAATTGTCTGTTCGATTACCAAAGCGTCTCACTTACCTACTCAAATCAAGAACAAATGCATTTGTTTTACGAATAAATTACCTATTTAGATTTTAGATTTTTTTCCACAGTGTTCAGAGACGCTCCTAATCCAATTTGACTGAGTTAAAGATACGCTTTCAATACAAATGGGCACTAATACTTTTATTAAAATGCAAAACCAATATACAGTCCAAAACACTCACAGCCACATTTCCCTCCCCAAATGTAACATACAGTTTACTGAAATTTAATTAAGATCCAGAGATTTCTGATAATCTGACACACTGGTACAGGACATTGTCCAGCAAATCTCGCTTTCACCACTATTTCTAATTACTCTCTTATGCATTAATTTGATACTGACACAAGATAAATGAAGTGAAATGTAAACTCAAAGAAACCAAAAGCCAGAAAATTATCTTCATTAATACACTTCTGCTATAAAAGATGTCAGCCTGACCTAAAATAGCTCCCAAATCCTTTCACTGAGTTCAAAACCTCTGATCTTATAAATCTGCTACTTATCGGTGAAATATGTTTGTATTGGAAGCAGTCTGTCATGTTCTCATGGCTTGGCAGGAAGAAAAGCCCATCGACTGAAGCCCTCTAGGGAAGTCTTAGCAGGTACACTTCAGACTGTTTTCCCTATCAGAACAGCAGCTGAACTCTGAATGACACCATATATGGTCGTTTTATGTCATGTTGAGGCAATAAACACAACACTGGTCTTGGACACGCTGTACATGGAACAAAAAAAAGTACGATTTTGCAATATGTGTAAATATTATTATTCCACACCAGTTTTATTGGCTGCTTCCAGCTGTGTTTGTGTGTTTTTTTCTTAGCTCATTTCCCCCCCATGCCTCAGTCACCGTTGTCCCACCGCACAACCTAATGTGTGGCCCATTCAGAGCCCTCTAACGTTCATACTGTTTAACTTTCTAAACTATAACTGCATTTTACAGCAGCTGCCTTGTTTACCACAGCCTGCATGTTTAGTGCCAGCGGGCTGAAGTAAATCAATCACTGTTCTCCTAATGCTGATGTTAACTGAACGCCTTTGCTGCTGTCTCTTTGTGATTGTCTATGCATATTTTTATTTCGTTTTTCTGTCTAATTCTGTGTTACCCCTTTCTAGTAATGTCAAGTTGGGAGCAAGTAATTAAATAAAAATTTATAAGCACAAATTCTGACTCAACTGGCATAATTTCATGTCTTGTGCACACTTGCCAGGATTTCCCTCGTTTTTACTCTAAGAAGAAGAATGCACGAGAGGAGTAATCATAATTACTAGGTGTGGTCATCCCTCTATAGAAAAACATTTAGTTCTGCTTATGCACCTAAATGGGTTATTTAGAGCAATCTTTGCTGAGACTTGCAGCTACTTTGTTTTTGTATCTCAAGTCTTAAGCTTTAAACATAACATAAACACTTTAGTACGTATAATTACACACATACATAGTGTGTTGTTGATGAAAAGATATTTAATGAACTTGATAACAATTTGACACGTTGCAACTATAGACTTCAGAGTCCTTGATCGGGAATTTTGCATTGTGTATCACAGAAAATAGAGAATATTATGCATGATATTCACAATATTTGACTTTTAAATGTCTAAAACCTATATGCATCTAATCCTTGTTACTTAGATACCTGCCAAAAATTAGTGCTATGGATTGCCTTCAGAAGTCACTTTATTGGTGAATGGTCCCTTTGCTGATGTCTGCACATCTGTACTTTGACTTTAATATAACTCCAGTTTTCTGTAAAGGAGTCGGAAGACATACTGTAGTCTTCACAGTGAAGAAACAGCGTCATCTGGACGAAGAGACATAGGTGTGTATTGCATTGAAACGTTTAAAAAAGTGTCAATTCTAAACATCAAAGAACTCTGTTTAATCTATAATCTTAAAATTAAAATAGGCATAGGGGCTGCAAAAAAAAGTATAAATCAGATAAGCAACAGGTGGAGAGATCAAATCTCAGGTGGGACAACTGTGGGTGACAATGCAGGCATTAAAACAGATGCTTTGTTCAAGCAAGACTAAAGGGGTATCACGATAGAGACGTCATAGTGGGGGTTTTCAGATTTATCCACTCTGGGAGCTGGTGTTAACTGTAGTTGGTTCATTGTGATTGGAACATTAATCTACCAAGAAGCTTGTTGTTGCAATCAAACCACGCTTCATCTGGATAGGTACTATGACCAAACTTTGTGACATATGTACAAAATACTAAGAGGCGGAAACCCCACAGTATGGTGGTGGCAGCATCATGCTGATGGGCTGTGTTGTACAACTCCTAGTTGTTTTCTTCAGTGAAGGTCTTGTGTCCCAGTTGGATGGATTGTGCTAAAAATAGCTTAATCATGGAGAAAAACACACTAAAAAGATACCCAGAGCTAAAACAGAGTTGGTTAACCAAAAGTTTAATCGTGTTTTAAAATGTTTTTAAAACATTTGCATCTGTGTTTTTGTCCTAAAATGTAAGATTGAACATGCATAATTTACTAAAACCTTACATATACTTATATAACTTTCAGATGTATATGAAAAAAATGCTTAAAAACATATTTTTGCTATGGGAAGATCTGTGTTTAAAGTAATCTTTTATTTCTGACTAAAAGTTTGAACATTACTTTCAAGTGAAAATCTTAAATTAAATCTGATGTAGAGCCTCTTTAGGAGCCAATAGTTAGGGTGATGGCACTTAGGTCTTCAAAACTGTTTCCTCTCACCCTTATTATTGTTTATTGCTAATACCAACTGTATGAATAATTTTAGGCTTAACCTTGTATCCATTAATGCCTTTTTGTTTGTTTAAATCTAAAAAAGTGTGTTCCTTAATCTTAACAACTATGGATTTATTACTGGTAATATTAAATCTCTGTGTTGGCCTGTCACATATAGTCTTAAAGAAGCAGTTTTTGTGTTTTGTTTTTTCTACTGAGAAAAAAAAGCTGTCTTTGCAGATTTTTTGATGCAGATTCTTTTTTCACCTGCCAGATTAACATCTGCTGCTTAGTCTACTTAAAAGATGTATTTCCAGGCTCTTTAGAGCTAAGCTGCAAAATATTCTGAGATTAGATCAAATCTCTACATTTGAATAAAGACCACCAGGCTGTACACACGTAGAGTATAAATGTTACTCGCAGTAAAATACAAGTTTTATAATGAGAGGTTCTAATGAGAGGTTTAAATGTCTTATCTATGCCTGTGCTGTTTAATGCCTGGATCACTCCCTCGACTGGTAATGAGGGTTCAAAGGTTTTCATTGCAGCTTATATAATTCCTGTGTGCTTTGCAAACGAAATCCAAAGAGCTAGGAGCCATGTCAGCAAACACAGAGTCCCAGACCTGCAGCTGTAAGTACATAGTTATTTCAGACATTTTACATGATTATGTTTATGTTCCTGTTTACTCAAACTGATTCCATTTGAGGAAATGGAAAAAAATCAATTTCCAGCTTTTTTTTGGCAGGTATTAGATTTTAAAATTATTTTTATTTTTCCATTACTGCTAACAGTAAAATCAGTTCCTTAAGTTCTTTTTTTTTTTCATTTTTATGTCTTCTGATCTTGGGTAGACTGCAGGTGTGAGTAATGCATGCTCTCAGTCAGAACTGAAGTATAATAGAAATGACAGAGATAGAGAATCCGTCTCAACTGATTTATTCAAAAAATGTAAGAATCCTTTTAGCTGATATTAAGCTGATATTTCATCCAAATGTTTTTTTTTTTTTTTACATTTGAAATGCTGAAAAAAAATTATGCTACAGTCATGATAAGACATGTTGGCATTCTCTTTTATTCCTGCTCCACAGACTCCTGTTGAATCAGACTTGTAAAAGAATTTGCACAATGTCTCATCAAGACCATTTAGTCATTCTCAGTTGTTCAGTGAAAATGAATCACTGACAGGTCTCTGATCGATGGAAATGAAAAGACCAGAAGAAAATGTCATTAAGGATAGAAGGCTGTACAAAAAAAGGGGACAGTTTAGAGGAAAAAAACAGATGAACAAAAAAGAATGATTACAATAAACCATCAGGTTTTTAACTGTGAATATTAAAAAAAACAACACTTAGCTCTTTTTCTTCAGGAGTTTGAGGGTGTCAGTTTTCCTCACTTTGTTCAAAATACACTTATTTTTTAGAGCTGGAAACTGCAGGAATAGCTTTCTTTTTAAAAAATTGCAGCACACAGTCAGGTTTCATTTGCTATGTTGCAGTAATCACACTCTAAACCCAGGTACACATAATCAGATGTTCAAGCATATTATCTCTGTACCGCATGCTCTTATTGTTATTGTCTACTGTATATCACTCGTAGAGTTGTGATGAGCAAAAACACGTGATTGTTTGCAATAACATTTACATTTTGACAAAAGCATTCTACCAACTCCCAGCATGAGACTTTGCCTTTTTCTCAGTGGTTTGCATCTGCTTAACATGCAATACGTGCATATATTTTATTGTTCCAATGTTTCATAGAGAAGTGTTTAAATGTTTTTTTTTTTTTTTTTTGGGAGAATTGAGTAAAGAACGGATAAAAACTGGCAATTTAACCCTAAAAGCTAAAAAGTATGTGACTTTCAGTTCCTCATCAAAAAATGTTACCTACCACTGAGCCTTAAATGATTTACAAAAACATTTACATGCATTTTGGGATGTAGACAAATAAAAAATAAATAAATAAAAAAAACCCCACAAGGATTGCAAAGTTTTAAAACTCTATTTTTTATTACTGTTAGAAAATAAAGAAAGGTGGGTGTTATATATTTGGGATATATTTTCTGATTTTTCCGTTCTCACATGCCTTTTTTGTTCTCACTTCACTCTCTGAACAACACTTTGAAGTTTAAAAGAATCCAAAGAGACACAATCTTCACAGCAACATATCATTTAATTAACCCGTTTTTGGAATGTTTAGGGCTGACAAAATAAGCCTGCTATTTGTTTTTCTGAGTTCTGTATCACAGGTTTTCTAAAGGAGTTTTATTCATTTTATTAATCTTTACTCTGTTAGTATCCAGCAGGAAAAGATGTCCACAAGCCTGTGGACTAGAGAGTGTAGCACCTTTGGTGGATTCAGGGGAGGAAACTCCTGACCCAATCCCTACTACCATCAAGGGAATTATTCCAGCCTGGATCAATGGGAGCTTTTTGAGAAATGGTCCGGGGAAATTTGAGTTTGGAGATGACAGGTATTTATTTATTCAACACTATTATTTTATACAGTATACTTATTTTTGACCATCATAGTCTATAGACACACCGATGCCAATAGATATCGAATCTGTTTTGTCAATGTGAATTGTTGAAAGGATTTGTTTTAAATTTTGCTGCTATGTTGATGATATTCAACTCTATTGATCCGAACAAACTGAGGAAACAATTGAGCTACCGAAATTATAAACTTGCCTTTAAATCATCAAGTACTTATTTTCCTGCACCCTTTTTGCATTTTTAACCCATGCAAAGCTGAATCCCCAGTATCAGCAGTATCCATTATTGTAGAGCTTAGTGCTACGAGGTTGAATTCTTCTTTTTCTGCAGAGAGGCCTTAATATATACATTAGAAAATATTGGCATACATTTCTGACCCATATTGACACATGGGCATATCAACAGGATCAAGCATTTGTATTTTAGAATATTTGATATCAACCACATTACAGACATGTGGCAGTGGACTGAGATCTGGTGTGGAAATTAAAGGACAGACGTTTTCACAGCTGTGACTAAAAAAAATGCTCATTCAACAGTTCTTTTCCCCCCACAACTACTGTTCAATTAATAATTTAATGCCTTTTAAGCATTCTGTAATATGATATATAATATGATTTTTTTAATGCCCATGCTGTTGTCTTTTCAAGGCTGTATTATTGCTACAGTGTCCAACTATAGCTGAATGTCTGAACTTCCTTAAAGATCTACAGTTTACAGCGTAGAGAGTGCATTTGGAAAAAGTATATTGGATAAATATATTTTTACACTGTCACCAGTTCTTATAGCGGAATAGGAGACAGACAATGTGAACAAATGAAGATCCTCTGCCTACACCGTTCCTATTTGGAAACAGCAGGTCAAAGCCAGGAGGAATGCCTCAGCAATTTCAGTCATGGTCGTGTATGCACTACTCACATCTTTCTACCGTACTGTGAATACAATTGTTCAAGCTCAAGATTGCTGTTGTACTATAGCTGTGCAGTGGTCAGTAAATATAAAATTTGGAATTGATGTTTTGTCCTTTCCAGTAAAAATGCAATAGCTTGTTATCCTCATCAGTAGCACTGCTTAAAGCAGGATCCACTGTGGAGGACGTGCTGTTGCTAAGCAAGGCGGGGGGGTTATGTGTTTTTTCTAATTTTCAGGCTAAGTCCATGTTTTTCTCAGAACTCCCTACTGCTGCTTTAATCTAAACCACTGCCACATTAAATTTGAATAGAACCACCAAAATGGATTGCCTTACTCTTTCAACAAATACAGTGCTACAACATAGAAATTCTCTTTTTAATATGTCTAAAAATGCATTCAATCTTTTATTTGTCAATTAATAAAATCTCCCTTGTCTTTTTATTGATTAGTCTACTTGTTTTTTTTCTTGTAAAACATTTGAAATTTATTATTGGGGTTTCATTATTACAGTTCAGTTGAGTTGATTTGACAGTATAAAATATCTTTTTCAATATTATATTTCAAAATTTGTCCCAACAACACTGTCAGAGAAATTAAATAGCTTTTATCCTCTTTCAGATACAATCACTGGTTTGATGGGATGGCCTTGATGCAACGGTTTCACATCTCTGAGGGCAGTGTAACTTACAGCAGCCGATTCCTACAGAGTGATTCGTATGTCCTCAACTCAGAGAAGAACCGCATTGTGGTGTCAGAGTTTGGGACGGTAGCAATGCCTGATCCCTGCAAAAACTTCTTTGCACGCTTCTTTTCCCGCTTTCAGATTCCACGTATGTGTTACCTCTTTTACATTCTGCATAATTGAAGCATAATTCTGCTGGTCTCACAGCACTAGCATATACACACTATAATCCCAATACTAGGAAGTCTTATATATAATTTGATCTTCAAGGTTTTAACTGACTCTCAAAAAGTATATATATATATATATATATATATATATATATATATATATATATATAGTAAGTATAATGAAGAGGGTATAAAACTGAGCAAGAATAAGATACAGAAACTATTTACTTAATTTAATTTAATATTTATTGTATTACTGAAAGTGAAAATACTGTTTTGTCTTTTAGCGTAAAATTTGGGGCCAATCAGTTATTTTTTATATATATTTTTTTAGTTAAACATTCTTAAAATGTGACTCCATCACAAATGATTTAGTAATAAATGATTATTTGGTTGCCATTAATTATAAAAGCTGTTTAAATGCTGTCTAAATGACATTTAGATCTGCTTAAAACAACATGTGTTATTCCTTAAAAACTAAAACAAAATAAATTAAAAACTACATCTTCCGATGAGAATAAATTATCTTAGCACAATATTTATTTGATTTTTGCAAACTTCACAACCTGTTACTATATGGGGATACATAGACATTTACTGTAGGAGCAGTTTTTATGCCGTCTGTATAATTAGATCATTGAAATATGTTCCTTTTATAATAAAAAGTTAATTTGAACGCACTTATTGTATACTATTGTATCCTTAAGAAGCACATTTTAACAACTTGAATAAACTCTTGCAATGAAATAGCTTTCTAGGTAATGAGTAGGTTTTACTTTCAGAGAAAAATTTGCATTGCTATGCATAATAGATTTGAAGCCAAAAAAAAAACTGCAATGAGTCTTTGATTACATTTTATGGATATTGTAGCTTTTTGTGGTGAAGGAAAGCTACAAAAACAAAAATCTGAAGAGTCTAAGTTGGAATTGGACATGGTCAACAGGAGTCAACAGGGGCAACAGAAGAGACACACAGACTTCCCTTTTCCCTTCTCTTCTCTAGCTCCTCTAGGGGACTGGGGGAAAACGGAGGCTTTCCAGAGCGGCCAAGAAACAGAGTTTATCATCTATATCCTGTCGCCTGGGCCTCCTAGTGGGACATGCCTTTAACACCTCTCGTAGCTGGCATCCAGAGGTTTATGCATCAGATGTCTAAACCACCTCAACTTACTCTTTTCAAATTGGAGGAAAGGTGACATTACTTCATGCTTCCTGGATGGCTGAGCTCCTCACCTTACAGTATGTCTAAGCTAGTGCTTGGCCACACTGTGGAGGAAGCTCATTTCAGCTGCTTGTATCTGGGATCTCCAGGAATTCTCCTACTTGAGGGAACTCCTCTCGAACCTGAAGAAGGCAAGCCATCTTTTTCTGGTAAAGAACCAAGGACTATGACCTGGAGGAGATGATCTTCATCCCGGCCGCTTTGCACTTGGCATTCTATAGGCCTTGATAGAAGGGAGCCAGCAGAACCACGACATCAGCAACAAGCAGAGACCAAATTAGCTGGTCTACAAACCAGACCCCCTTTGGCCCTTGGCAGCACCTAAACATCTTTTTCCAAAAACTTGTGAAAAGGACTAGTGACAGAGGAACCCTGTGCTTGCATGCAACATGCATCAGAAACATGTTTTAATAATCACCCCTCTGAACATGAATAATATACTAAGATATAAAATTGAGGGCATATCTACTGGAACCACACATATTGTATTCTATTTCACTGCTACAGTTTTAAAGAAAAAAATATACTAAATATTATATTTAAACTATGATTTCAAATTCAAGGGTTATCAATGGAACCTTCGTGCATATGACTCATGTTCAATGGGGAAACAGGAGAGTTACTCTGCTCTCTGACTTTAGACACAGGCTACAGCTGCTGCGTCTGGTTCCCTTTGTTTTAGAGAGAGGGGCTTGCAAGCTAACTGGTAGATGGTTAACTCAGAGCAGTGGGTGTACAGAATGTGTTGTTACCAAAGTCATCAACAAAACAGGAAAAAGTGGCTGGATTTGTGGCTACCCACTTTTTTGAAAAATGTCACTAGACATGTCTGAAAAGGCATTAAAGTTGCTAAGTTGGCAACAATGCAGAAATGGCCATGCCATAAAACACTGCTTATGTTCAGAGCTGGGGTCCATTCCTCGCAATCAAAATTAAAGTCCCTCAGCAGAATGATGGAAATTAGCTCCTGGATGGTTGACCTAATTTCAAGCAACCCCACCAGGAATGCTAAGAAGGCCTGGTACTTAGAGCCCTGAAGGTTCAGGGATGTGACCTTCTGATTCACCAGGATGAACTCAAACATGTGATAACTCAGCTGTGGTTAGAAAGTAAACCCAGGAGAGCCCTCCATGTCTCCCTTCCAGCCAGTATGTAAAAGAAAAGAGTCCAGTAGCTCTTAAGGAGCCGGGATCCAAAGCTTAGTCTGTGTGCGGAGGTGAGGCAGACATGTTCAAGCCAGTATTACTCCACCTCCTACTCAACCACAGGCTCCTGTGACAAGATGACATTCCACGTCCCCCAGAGGCAGTGTCTGTAGTTCAGGTTACCGAGCCCACTACCTCTAAGTGCTGCCAAATCTTCTTTGCACCTTTTCCTCATAGTTCCCCTTTCAGGTAATCGTCCCCCTGGGGGATGGCCTTGAATCACCAGGCTTGGTCAAGCCATGTCCTGTGAGACTTCTTAGTGAGGTCCCCAGAACAACAATAGCACTTGCCTCAATTTTTTTGCCTTCACAATGAAAAAATAAATAGCGTGGTAAAAGAAAAAAAAAAGACATGTTCAACAACATCAGTTCTTGAGAAGTTGTCTCAAAGAATACTCTGATAACAAATGTTGAATTCCTTAAGTCTTGCCACCCCAGAATCCGAGACATCAGAAGTATCATACTGAGCAAGAGCAACCACCGTAATGCTGCTAAGTTGTCCGAATCCTCTTCTCAGATGAAAGTCTGCTAGTACTGCTTCACATTTTTCCGCATACCAAAGTCAATGCAGCTGCCTTCCAGGAATTCTTGTTAAAAAAAATCCTTTAAAGAAATCCTGCATCCACATTTTGATGTTGATCATCACCAAGTTATTCCGTACACAGACAGACAAACACACAAACGTGTGAAAACATAATTTCCTTTGTGGAGAAAATAATGAAATGCATATATCAACTGATTTATATTTAAAAAACTAATGTTAATTAATGTCTAAATTCAAAAGAAATATATGAGTATTAAATGCAAATTTATTTATTTTGTTCTGCATTCCACAATTTAATAGTAAATGCAACTATTTAAAGATTGAGTGCAGGATTTTTGCGAATTTTTGAAAAGAACCACCCTCTCCACTTAAAAAAAATGCACAAGCACAACCCTACACCCGCTCCTGAGAGGGATCACCTATTAAATGTGTGAAAAAAAAAAAAAAAACGTGTGTGAGAGCATGCACTAGCCTATTTCTCTACGTACACGCTCTGTTTAAAACTTTCTGCTGGCATCACTCATACAAGCTTACTTTCCAAAAGAAGATTTGCAATTTTTCCACTATGTCATGGGGGTGATCATGTACAGTAAGAAGGCCTTAAGTAAACATATCACCACAATGACTGACAATTAAGAGGACCACTTTGATGATCAACCCGGAAAAAGAACATCCTGTATTAAAGCTTTGACAATGTATTAAATAAACAAATGGTACATTCATTATTTATTGGTACATTTATTGCTATGTTCGTTTATTAATTTCTACTTTGATCTTTTCATGGTACATTTATTAATTCCATTATACATTTACACTTATTTATTTAATGCTGTATTTATTCATTTAGTTCTACTAATCTTTTCATTTATTTAATTTTATCCACCTTAATCCTCCATAGACCCACAAATAATATTTACCTTAAATATGTGTAGTGTTGAAGATGAAACTTTAATTTTCTATCAAAAATTACCAATGCATTGACTGGTCTCTGCCACATTATTTCTATTTAGATTTGTGAAAAAGCAGTATCCCTTTTTTGTGTTTTTTTTTTGTAATCTCTCTATGACATCATATTTCGAGGCTTCTTTATTCCACCTGTCACCATAGAAGATCCTGTTTTTCACATTCCATAGATAGGGGCTGGATCTTATGTTAATGAGTCATGACCTTTCTGCCAACGTCACAAAAAAGCAAATGTTACCTAACCACTCTGCATAACCTCTGACCCAAGTGTTAGCTTAAAGCTACAGCGTGTAATACAGGGGTTTACGACAGAAATGACACACAGTGTAAATAAGTATGTCATTTCTTAACATCCATAACTGAAAGTCTCAATATTTTTGTTTGTGTTGCCTTAGAAATTGCTATTATAATTACATAGAAGCAGGTCTTCCATGTTTGGAGGAAGACTTCATTGGAGCAAGTAAGGCCTATATATAACGTATATCCTAAACAGTCACAGACTATTTATGATTTGTTTTATGGTGTCCTGTCTGGCAATGTGACAATAAGAATAATTGTCTTGATGTCAAAGATTTTGCTTTCACGAGTGGAGCAGTACGGCCGTCACGATAGTGTTCCGCTTAATCTATGCATATAAATAGCTTTATTATAATTCTTGCAGGGAGTATTACAGATTATATATATATATATATATATATATATATATANGTTGCCTTAGAAATTGCTATTATAATTACATAGAAGCAGGTCTTCCATGTTTGGAGGAAGACTTCATTGGAGCAAGTAAGGCCCATATATAACGTATATCCTAAACAGTCACAGACTATTTATGATTTTTTTTATGGTGTCCTGTCTGGCATTTTTTTTTTTTTTTTTTTTTTTTTTTTTTTTTTTTTTTTATGGTGTCCTGTCTGGCAATGTGACAATAAGAATAATTGTCTTGATGCCAAAAAGAGACCAACAGATTTTGCTTTCATGAGTGGAGCAGTACGGCCATCACGATAGTGTTCCGCTTAATTTATGCATATAAATAGCTTTATTATAATTCTTGCAGGGAGTATTACACTCCCCCCATAAGAGGTTATGGGGGGAGTGGTTCATGTTGCTGCAGTCTGCAGATGTTGCTTAAAATTACACACTGTAGCTTTGATTTGAGATATATTAGATGTTGTTTTTTTTTTAGATCATTGCTCAGTGGTTTTCTCAAAAAAACAGCTTTGTAACATGAGAGGATTGGATCCATTACTAAATAGGTTATGTAACACAAGGTGCCGCCTTAAGGCAATCTGGGCTGCTCTTAAACACCAGAGCCAACAGAACAGAAATGGCACTTAACAGATCAGACATATGTTTGGTTTTCTGATGTATGATTTTGTATTGTATTGAGTATTGAAGTGCTCTTAAATAATAGTTCAGTTAGAAGCAAATCATGCACACTTACATCATGATTTCTCCTTTCAGTCCTGGGGAGTGGCGGCCTAGTGTTTTGGGCATAGAGCTTGGAATCCTGAAGTTCTGAGTTTGACCCCACTCCAACAGACTGCCACTCTGGGTCTCTAGGCAAGACCTTTAACCCCTGATTGCTCCCCGGGCGCCCCATGATGGCAGCCCACTACTCCCATAGGGGATGTTTTAAATGCAGAGGTAAATTTGTCCAATGTGAGATCAATAAAGTAAAATTATTTATTATCCTATTTTTAATATGAAATTGATGCCTGGACTTTTACTCTCTTAGCTCACTCTGACTGTGTTAGTTTATTAAAAAGAACACTGCTTTTGTTTTACATTTCTTTAACCCCCCCCCCCCCCCCCCCCCCCAAAAAAAAAAAAAAAAAGAAAGAAAAATTAAATAATAATATATGTTAGTATCAGTTGCTGAAGTGCGAAGTGGTGCTATGAGGCGAAGAAGGATTGTGTTGAGAGATTACTGGGCTGCCCTTGGGAGCTCCGTGGGGTGAATGTTCAAGCCCAGGAATGTCCTTGATGAATGACATCAAAATAACTCTTAAGCACATATTTCTGATGTTCATACATTGTTTAGTGTTTAAATACTTTGGTCAGAGAAAATAAAAATGATCTATCTAAATTTTACTGTATTTGCCCTTGACTGCATAGTAGGAATAATGAAAGGTTGGCATCTATTTAAGAAAGTCAGTGTGTGTTTTTGTGTGAGTACAGTTTTATATTACCTATTTAGGGCTGTTTTTGGTATATTTACTAACCTTCTGAGTACCAAAAGGCTTTGTGAGAACCAAAGACTGGTCCTATTGTTCTGGACTCCCATATTTACGCTAGGGGGTCATTTTAGAGGCACAATTTGAATTTACTTTGGGTTAAGGTCAGGCATAAATGAATATAAGTCATAAGTCTTAATAAGGAAGCATTTGTATCCATTATTATAATCATTATTCAGAAAAGAAGAAAAATGTATGAATGTACACTGCAAAGGAAAGATGAATGAAAACTGCGACTTAAAGCTTCAGTCAAATTAAAAAAATCTGCTTTTTGTGACGTATGTGAGAAAGATACAATTATATTTAAACACTTTATGTTCTTGTCATCCACATGTGTGAACAGAGCCCACAGATAACGCTAATGTGAACTTTGTCAAGTACAAGGGAGACTATTATGTCAGCACAGAAACCAACTTTATGAGAAGAGTGGATCCGCAAACCTTGGAGACAAAGGAGAAGGTGGGTAGTTAAAGGTTAGACAAAGTATCTTTTTTAATGTAGAAAGCTGATAAGAAGGCAGAGACTGATTTTCCTTAAGATAAATAGGACAAGGATAAAGGTTAAAAGGTATTTTTATTGTTATTTCTTTGTCAGGTGGACTGGAGTCAGTATATTGCTGTTAACTCAGCTACAGCACACCCACACTATGACCAGCAGGGAGCTACATACAACATGGGCAACTCCTACAGCAGGGATGGTGATTTATTTTATTTGATTGTATCACTTCCTTTATAAACCCATGAATCTCAGCCATTAACAGAAGCAAGCAATTCTTTTGCTGTTGCTTTTCACACCTGCAGTTACAAAGTCTTACAATAGCATTCATAAACCTTTCCATATTTTGTCATGTTAAAACATAAACTTCAAATACTTGCATTGGGATTATTTGTGGTACAACAGCAGAAAGTAATGTAGTAGTTGAGAAGTGGAGGGAAAATTATATGTTCTTTACAAAATGGTTTACAAGTAGAAATCTGACAACTGTGGCCCCCTTGAGTCAATATTGTAGAAGTACTTTTCACTGCAGTTACAGCTGCATGTCTATTGGGATACGTCCCTATCAGCTTTCTAACAGCAAGTTCTTTTTTTCGGTTTTGTTTGCAAAATAGCTCATGCTCAGACAAACTGGGGGGGGGGGTTTTTTTTAAACATCATTTTTAAATCCTACCACAGTTTCATTGCTAAATTCAGACCTGAACCTGGTTTAGGCATTCCATGCATGAATATGTTTTGCACTAAACAACTGCAATGTAGCATTGGTTGTACACTTAGGACTCTTGGTGCCCTAAATGATGGAGGGTGTAGCGTTAGTTTTCAAGTGCATTGCGTTTAGGCTAAAAAATGCTCAGCTTTGGTCTCATGTCACTAGAGCAATTTTCTCTTAAAATGTTTTCTACTACCTACAGAGCTTGTGGAAAATCAATTTTTTTTAAATAAAAAAAAACAATTCTCCTGCTTCTCAGGCACAATTGTGTTAAACATAAAATCTGTGTGATTACATAAATGTTTTACAGTTCTTCTAATGTTACAACATGTAAAGAAATTGAAAAGGTATAAATGCTATTCAGAATGTTGTAAATCTGCTCAGATTGCTTTTGAGTAATTTGCAAACTCTGAGACCTGAAATCACATCTGTGCTTTAGTCATTCATTAGCTTGCCTAATATTTACTCTTTTTGATTTACTCGAAGTTATCTGTGCAAATGTGTGCACAACAGCATGACAACAAAATCTGTTTTGTTTTTTTCTGTGTTGGGGGGGCTTCTTCCAGGTTTTTTCTACACCATCATCCGAGTCCCTCCCTTAGAGAAAACATCTGAGGAAGACTCAGCAGACCTCACTGGAGCTGAAGTGATCTGCTCTATCCCTGCAGCTGAATCTACAAAACCTTCTTATTATCACAGTTTTGGTGAGATGCACACTTCGGCATGATAAGTGACACCCTCTCAGTTCCTCACCTGCAGCTTAGATGCATACTGAACTTAAATGGGTGATTACTGTGGAAATGTTGCTTTAATGAGAGAGAGGTCCCGCTGCACTCAAACACAAGTCACTCTCTGTCTATTATTCTAGCCACAATTCATAAAGCAAGCCCCATTTTTGTTGACCTCCTAATATTTTACAGTGGCCTTAAATATATTAAGACCCCTTCCACTTTAAGAGACACTGGATTTATGTGACAGACTAAACAAAGTATCACATAATTCTAAAGAGGATGGAAAATGATACAAATACTCCATTATTAATATTGTTTTTGATAAAGCTGTCGATGAGGTTTCAAACGAAACAGACAAAATGTGCAGCAAATTCTGCAGAGTACAACAGCCGAAATTTTCCTACAATAAAAAATAGTAGTGGCAGCATTGTGCTGCAGAGATGCTAGTCTTCAGTGAGGAAAGCTGAACTTGTCAGGACTTGATGGAAAAGCAAATGGATCTAAATACTGAGTTAGAAGACGATATCAAAAAGGTTGAAGAAGGTTTTGAAAAGGGGCATCAGATAGCCACTGATTTGTGATGGTCTAAAATTCTAATAAAATGCATTGAAATTAGTTCTTTCAGTGGGACAGAATGTAAACATATTTAGGGGAGTAAATATTGATTACTGTTTTGCTCGATATAATAGGTCTAATTCCTTAAAAGGCAGAAAAAGGTAGAATTTTTAATGTAGTCTCCCTCTTGGCTTAAGTCCAAGAACTAATTTCCAATGCTTTACAAAGTAGTCATGCATTTTTTTTATATATATATCTTGTTGTGATTTATGTTTATTTATCTTTGTATGCATACTTTGCTCTCTAGGGATTAACACTGACAATCATTTACAGTTATATTTATAGGCTCTGCTCTTTGTGGGAGTCCTCAACAAAAGAAAACAATATCCAAGCAGCAAAAAGATTTGGGGTGGGAGAAATAAACCCTTTGACAAACAAACACAGGAACACGAATCTTGGTAAATTCAGCAGTATCAAAAGCTTAGAGCACAGCATGGAGTCTAGGGCAGTGCGGAAAGTTGCTGCAGCATTTGAAAGACTGTCGGCAGACTAAAATGTGGAGGAGTCAGTTTTAATGGTTGCACAGCGTATGATTGGACATTACAGGTCAGCTGATACCCATAGGGGCAACAAAGTAGCCATTAAAAATCAAGCTCTTGGCCAATACCAGTCAGCTAAACCAAATAAGACTCCATTATTTGGCTGATTTAACACAGCGTTGCTCCATTTGTTCCCTGATCACATCTCAGTCTATATTTCTGGCGGACCACCCTGTCCCACCAGACTTCTGGGCACCGAGAAATCCCACAAGTCAGGAAAGCATTGTGCAGTTGCACAGCAAACCTAATATTACATTTGTCAGAGGGAGCCAAATTGTGTTCGGGCTCCTTTCTGGCCATGTCAGAAATCCTTTTTTTTCCTAAACTTTTACCTCAGAAGTGTAACATAGGAAACTGATTTTGATCCCTTTAGTTTCCGAGCTTCAAAAAGTGCATACCAAGATAGTAGAGTTATGGATGAAGGGACTGAATAGTGTGCAGCTGTTTGACTGTGTATGTGCAACTACAGAAGTCCTCCTCAAAGACCACATGGTGTTGCTGTAAGTGAGATCAGTTTTATTGCTTTTGTGCATGACTTTTCCAGAAGAGGTTACTGATTTAGAATTTGTTTGCAGATATTTTATGTGACTTAACAGTTTTAGTCAAACGTTTAATGACAGACTAGATCTTTTATTGTGCAAATAAAATACATCACATATCTTTAAACAAGCAATAGGCGATAATTTCTTATTTTAGATAGTAAAAGCTAAACAAATAGTGATGTGAAGAAATTCTAGTAACATATGGATAAATATCCCTTAACAGCTGCTTATTAAATATATGCATGTTACAGCCATCAAGCACTTTCTAGTATAACAGTGGCTATATATTTGAGCTCCATTCTTGGCATGTTAGTTTCAGCAAAGACTTAGCAATTTGGATCACATAGTTTCAACTTGGAAACACCTTACTTTTCCAAAAGGAGAATATATATATATATATATATATATATATATATATATATATATATATATATATATATATATACATATATATATTATGCTAACACTACAGTTCAATGATTGCCCATTGCTCAAAACCTGTAATTCTAGTTCCATAGAAATAAAAGCTGTGCTAAAAAAACAGGCCTTTGCAAGAATAATCAATTAGAATCAGCTCTACCAATTTGGACTAATTCTTCTATAAAAAATAAAGCTGTTTCTTTGCAACTTTTAAAGGCGCATTTGACTACAGAACCGAGTTGCATCTATATATTTGAACATGCTTAGGGCAAATACAATAGAAAATGTAACTTGTTTATTTGCCTAAAAAAATGACTGCAGGTTTAAGCTGTATAAACCCGAATATGATCATTTCAGATAAATTATTTAAGCCCTGAATTAACAGTTCATTCCTGCAGGTCAAGGGAATGTGTAAACCTCTCACTTGAATATTAAGGTGAAGTTAGCCTTTACTGAGAAGCCTGGGAGACTCCCATGTGCTCTAAACACAGATTAAAACATGAGCAGTTCCTCAGCTTGTTTTTTGAATGTAAAGTATGAATTTCTGCATGGTTCTATTCCTCTCCAGTCATGTCAGAGAACTACATTGTGTTCGTGGAGCAGCCTATAAAGCTGAATGTGCTGAAGTTCATGCTGTTCAAGATTATGGGACAGAGTTTTCAAAAAATACTGAGCTGGGAGCCAGAGTATGACACCATATTCCACCTGGTTGACAGACACACTGGCAAGGTTTGTGACTACCTTTGAGCTGTTCGAAAATATTTGTGTGATAAAGTTATCTTGCAATTTCTAGAGGATATGCAGTTAAAGAAACATTATAACGCTAAGCAACAATTTGAGAAACACATTTTTTTCTTTACTGACATTTGTAGATTTTACATATTACCAATGTTTTTTTAAAATCTATAACTTTTTTTATTTGTGAAGCCTGATGTCATTTTGTGGCCCAAATAATCTTGCATCTCAATAATATGCAGCAGTTTTGAAATTGTCAAAGTTGCTGGTACAACAGCTCCTCCATAATGATCTTTTATATATTTTAGTTTTCATCCAGAAAGGAAGATAATAATATCTAAAAACCCTTTTGACAAAAATCCCCAGATCAGCATTTTTCCTATTTGTT